GGGCTCTGCACTTTTCTTCCTTTAGAAGAATGCGGCGATGATTCCATATGTTAACTAGCCTGTGGAAAATGTTCACCTGCCCAGGTATGGACGCCTTGGCAATATCCCAGCCCATGCGCAACCATGAACTGAACATATGCAAATAAACTCACGCCACATAAGCCGTCGCGTGGTGCCATTAGTCGGAATGGCCTTACTCGCTGCATGCAGCAGGGCAGGTAAACGAAAGCATGCTACTTCTGACGCCTCCCTTTTTCTATTTTACATAGTTTCTCCCCTCCCCCGCCCCATTAATATTTCTACCCGTGTAGGCGCAGCACTTGAGATTGATGGATCCGTTCGTCCTGTAACGGTTTTGCAAGCACAATCTGCGCGTCATCCAGCGCCAACATCCTCAGGCATCTCGAAATCAATCTTCAAGTCTCAACGCCCAGCATACCTGGCCTTCTTCAATGTCCGCATGCTGAAGCAAGCAGGACAAAAAGCTGCTCTCGCTCTCACACTGGACCCGCTTGGCACTCATGTGTGCTGTGTATCGGAAACTAAAACTCAAGACGCACGCACAGTAGTTAAGCTAGCCGCTCCATCACTTACCACTTGCTTCCGGCTGTGCACCCCTGGCGATCCAGAGACTACCGTGGCAAGATGTACAGAGGTCTTAGGTCACCGGGAAAAAGGATTCTTGCTTGACTGGATACCCGTTGATAGTTGCCTCCGCGCGGTTCGTCTGGTAACGTGTGTGTGGGTCTCACGGGGAAAAAGTTTATCTGTGCCTTTTTGTCGTGTCTGCTTTTGCCTCAACTGACTGTAGCTCTAACAACATCGTGGACAATATTTTGGCACTCTGAGTGACCTCTCGTGGCAAGCTAGGAGCTTAGATATCGTTGTGGTTTCCCGAGATCTTAACGCACAATTGGGCAGGCTAAGAGCATCTGAGACTCGGCTGGATGGCCGACACGGACTAAGAAAAATTGTGGACGAATTTGAAGCTGTGTGATGACCTCAGTGTGTTCAATGCAGTACTCAATTCCGAAATGGCCGAAGTCGTCTGATCACACTGTACTCTCCAACAGCGTACCAATGGTAGCTGCCAATTCACTAGCCTCCTTCGAGACCCGCCTTTAACGGCGGCCATTCTCTTCCTGCTTGTCCGGCTTGACTAAGCTTTTTTGCTGACCCGGCTTTGAATTATGAATTCTTCGTGGGTTTCCACTCGTTTTAAACTTTTACCGTTTGTATTTCTTATATAGCAACGCTTTAAAATACGGATAATAAAAAACCTATCTTCTGTAAAATAATTACAAAATAAATATATATATACGTGGGACACTGATATTGTTTTGCAGCGCCGATGGCATACTTCGACCTGCAAAGCTGTAACCACATTTTCAGCACATACCCCATTGTTCTCTTTTGGTTTTTTTGTTCTCCACAAGTAACGATTACTTATCTCATGGTAAGGTTAAGTCTTTTAGCTTGCCCCTCCAGTTGTGACGTTGTCCGCTACGTTCACGATATAACGGCCGATCAGGCCTTAAATGGTATGCTGACTGCAAGTTGGGAAATGGACCTTTGTTTGACATCATACATACACTTTATTCTTCCCCATGAGACAAAACCGCTTGAGGGTTACGCACTAGTCCAGGGTCACTTTAACCATGACGTCCTTTTCGGAGTTGTTTAGAAGCTGAAGTATATCAGTTCAATAAGGTATGAAACTGCCGTGCCTATTTCGATGACACCCGCAATACTTCCATTCCTGCTTTCAACTGTGCCCTCTCAACGAAAAGTTTCTTCACCTACTGATATAGAAAATTATACCTGGTCCCAGCCAGATCTGAGTTTGTTCTAACCTGCTGAGGCTTCTTTCAACTTGTGTTCCGCATAAAGCAACAACTTTTTGCAGTCCGATCCAATGCGTCATCACCATATCGTGCACCCAAGGAGATCTTACATCCGCTTCCGCTCCCACGGCGACAGTTTTGAGTCTATACTGTTTCACAGGTACCTAATACAATTAATTCGTATTGCTAATTCTTAGACTATCCATAGACCCAACCGTCAAAGGCCATTTCGCCTCAGTGATGGCTTTAGTTTTCAATCCAAACTGTCCGCTAGGATCACTGCATTACCGCAGCCTCACCAGACCCACTGTTTTTGTTCCTCATCTTCCGCAATTTGCAGTGTCATTATTAACCTGCCAAGCAAAGCCTTTAAGTTATGTATTACGTTGCTGTGAGAATTAAGTTTNCCACACCACGGTAAGGTCCAGTCTCTTCGTGACGGACAAAGAACTTAGTATGTTCACAGACTCCCGGGAGCATTCCCTAATGGGCAAGCGTGTCAAGGAGATCAGGCCAATCAACCGAGTCGAATTCGCCTTGGAAATCCGGAAATACTAATATTGTGGGTCGTTAAACGTATGCCGTTCTGGCACCTGATGGAATGTGAAATTTTGGTCAACGCAACTCTTAACAGGCCGGAATCCCGCTTACCGCACTCCTGTCAGTGTTTTGCAAGCCATCATAAGGCGATGAAGAACAAGTGGTGCTAATAATCTCGTTACAACCGGGGGTAATCTAATCCATCTGTGGTTACTGAACTCATCACGAGCCCCTTTTTTGAAAATGGGCACTATCACCGGTTCCCCCCAGTTGTCTGCAATAGTTTTCTGTTACCAAATGCATGCAAACAAATCTGACAAACGCTGGCTGAGAATTTCATCCCCGTCTTTGAACAATGCGGGTAGGATGTCAAATGGACGAGAAGCTCGGTGGCGTAAATCTCCGAGGCCGTCGGAGGCTGTACGCTCACCTTTCACGGTTCTACGTCAACTGTAGGCTCCAGATGGATGGTAGCCAGTGGCCACGGCAGCTGTTGCTCGAAGTATTGAGCCCAATGGTGGTGGTTTTCTTTATTCAGGATAGTTACTCCATTCTGATCCTTGATGGTTTCACTAACAGGAGTTTACCGGGAACCGGTCTCACGAACCAACTGAAATAATCTTCTGGCATTACCGGCTTCCTGGGCCTTTTCTATTTCCTTGGCTTTCTGTGTCCACCAAACTTCGCATTCGGTTCGCACGCTCACTTTCACTTGACGTCTGGTAATTCGTCGCGTCAAGTCATGTTCGGGACCGGCTGGGATGTTTCCCCAAAATTTAAGCAGTGCCACTGTTCAGTCTGATATCTAATGTTTGAGTGGGCCTGCAAGCGCCGTGCCACAAGCGAAGCTCCCAGCACTGCGCAAAGAGGTGGTGATCTCGTCCCAGTATGAATTCACATTTGATGGTGGAACATTTGGAAGAGACTCTAGTAGAGGATTCTCCACAGACGTTGCCAGACGAACCGCGCGGAGGCAACTATCAACGGGTATCCAGTCAAGCAAGAATCCTTTTTCCCGGTGACCTAAGACCTCTGTACATCTTGCCACGGTAGTCTCTGGATCGCCAGGGGTGCACAGCCGGAAGCAAGTGGTAAGTGATGGAGCGGCTAGCTTAACTACTGTGCGTGCGTCTTGAGTTTTAGTTTCCGATACACAGCACACATGAGTGCCAAGCGGGTCCAGTGTGAGAGCGAGAGCAGCTTTTTGTCCTGCTTGCTTCAGCATGCGGACATTGAAGAAGGCCAGGTATGCTGGGCGTTGAGACTTGAAGATTGATTTCGAGATGCCTGAGGATGTTGGCGCTGGATGACGCGCAGATTGTGCTTGCAAAACCGTTACAGGACGAACGGATCCATCAATCTCAAGTGCTGCGCCTACACGGGTAGAGATATTAATGGGGCGGGGGAGGGGAGAAACTATGTAAAATAGAAAAAGGGAGGCGTCAGCAGTAGCATGCTTTCGTTTACCTGCCCTGCTGCATGCAGCGAGTAAGGCGACCCCGACTAATGGCACCACGCGACGGCTTATGTGGCGTGAGTTTATTTGCATATGTTCAGTTCATGGTTGCGCATGGGCTGGGATATTGGTGGGTGTTTGGCTCAAAATCCTAACCAGAAAGCAGCGGATATGCAAGTACATTGCCGTTCTTACTAAACACGTCGCCACATATGCTCCAACCCTCAACCTGGAGGACATGGAGACTGTGTTCGTCAGACCTCCAACCGTTGACCAACCGGGCATGAGAGACTGCAAGTGCCGCGCAGACACCCGAGCATAGCTCAATGGGTTGCTGAGGTACACCAAATCGTTACACTTGGCGGGTCGTTTAACCGGGTGAGCAGTCACACTTTATGACTATGAAACGTGATGACAAACTCTGCAGGGTATGGCACGTAGCTGATACCCTTGCGGACGTTGCTGTCACATAGGACTGTCTGGCAAATGCTTCCGTATCATATGGTGGACTTGTGTTTTCGACACGCATTTCCCCAACCTGGTGCTCAGATGTTTTTTCCGAATGGTTTTCGAACGTGTGTGCTCTCTGCCGATGACCGTTTTTCCTAGGACCGTAAGGCTTTAATGATAAATCCCTAACCCCGCTTCTTTTCAGGCTTACTCCCTGGTTGTCTCAGTTAAACACTAGTTCGTATCATTGGTTTTATGTGCATCATGATGATGTTAATGAACCTATTTCGCAGCATCCATTGTTCTTTTCAAAACTCAACCAGGCGAGTTCGTGTAACACTTGCATTTGTCTCTTTTTACTCTCGAATTCCTTACTTTTGGAATCCTAGTTGGTTTGTTCGATGGTGTTTTATGCGTCGAATGGTTGCATAAGTAGCATATTGGTGTGGTTTAAACACCAGCTCAGCCTGATAAAACACAGCATGGCCCAACTTCTAGAATGCAACCCTGAATTGTTACAAATCGTCGGATATATAAAGGGTTTTTCCTTCTTATTGTTTGGCGCACAAAAAAGAACGCAAAATGCCTCAATGATCATGATTTCGAAAGTCGGCTTGATTTGTTGTTTGAAATGCACCGTTAAACTACTTTTCATTTGTTTCAGATTCTAACTCCGTCTCCTGTTCAGGAATCTTTTCTTTTGAACTACCATGTCACAAAGTGCAGCCCTATTTGGTAGACCCCAACAACCACAAACAAAACACCTATTGCAATTCAAAGCTGGGAAGATGACCATAAATAACGAGAATTGGGTTCATGCGGATCCTCGCAAAGGTTGGGTTTATGTTTACCAATCCGGTGATGGCAAACTCCATTTCTGCTGGATCGACCGCAAAACTTGCCTCGTAGAGGACGTTAGTTTTCCACATTAACCATAGCTTTGTCTTTCCATAGAATTTCATCATTAATGCTCAGCAAGCTGAGTTCAAACGAGTGCCTCAATGCACCACAGGCAGGGTGTATTTACTCAAGGTGAAAAATGCCAAACCATTTTTTGTGTGGATGCAGGTCCGCCTCATTATCTTTTATCTGATGTTTTTCTCCAAAGGAACCCAATGGAAAGAACGACAGCAGCATCTGTTCAAGAATTAACGACTTTATAGCTTCTCCTCCCACTCAATTCACTCCACCTGCGAGTAATTCATGTGCTTACATTTGTTTGAGTTTTAACTACAGGTGATTGGCTCAGTAATTTTGGTGGATTCAATCAATTTTCACAGAATGATCTCTTGGCACTCCTCAGTAAGTAGTAAACCAGACGAATGTAGCTTTATTCTCTTCATGTAGCAATGGGCGTTGGCCTTGGCAGTGGACTTTCTTCTGAATCGGATGTGTAAGTATTTTGTTTCTTGCATAGTTGCGTTGGGTTCACTACGTTTTTTTTATATACTCGCTATAATAGAATGTGTCCGTGACGAGTGTGTCAACATCACTGTGTTAGCGCTTCCGTGTCAGCAATCCCAGCGTGCATAGCTTTGTCCTATTATCCCCTGAAGTTACCAAACTTTCACAACTGACACTTCAGTGTTTACTTTCTAGTCGAATAGCCGAAGGTAGACCAGTCTCAGGCTTCCGATAGTCCAAATTGATGGTGGCGGTCAATGTTCTATTTGGTCTGTAACTTCGGCATACAAATGACCGCTTTTCGTTAGGTTTCAGCTTACGTTCGACCTAGGTCGGTCCGCTTTTTGACAGGAAACCTAAAAAACATGGCTCATCCGGTCAGGATAGAGTAATGAAAAATCCGTTTTAGCCCTGTCACCATATACCATATTGAAGTAGGTCGTTGCCTGTCGGGATCGATTCTAAGTTGAGGTGATTTCCCTTATTCATCTTAACGAGATCGCGTATGCTAAAATAAATGAACATGGTTAAATTCTTCTAGAAGTCAAAAGACAGTGGTGCTGCTTACCTTGTTTCTCTAGGGATTAGGACAGTTCAAAGAGAAGGTACTACACAGGTTGTACGATTCCGATTCTGGTTGGTGGGGGACACGTCCAAACCATGGTAACCGGGGCTATCTCAGTAATTTGGAAGAGCATAAATAAAGCAACATTTTGTGACACCGCCACTTGATTATCCATCATTCCAACACACCCAGTAGTAGTTACTATGAGGACCAGTGGTCAAGTACTTCGAGTATTCGGAAATCATCAGCTCGGAGGGGCCGTGTCTCACACGCGTATTTGAGCGGCTGGTTTATTAGCGCTCCTTGGAGCGGTTGGCAGCCCTGTAAACTCAACTTTGTATGTATGAACATTTGTTTCTCACAGTGCTCGGCCTTTTGGGAGGCTGATGGTGTCCATGTACCTAAAAAATCGGTTCGGTTTTGGGCTGTCCATTAACAGTAATCGGGATGGATTGAACGTTTGTGCTTGTGTTCAAGGATTTTCTCTCTCCCACATTTATTTCTGGTGTGATTGGGGTTGGCTGCATCTCAGGACAGTGACGTCATCGATGTGACCAAGGCATATGATCCACGTGGTAAGGCTTAACTCTCATCCCGAAAAATCTCTTGTGTCATGCGGAATTTACCACTTGGCTTCGGAAATGAAAAGGCTTGAGTTAAAGCGGTAGGCCTTTTTGAACACCAAATAAACCAATAACTGTTACCTCTTGCTCATTTACTCGAATGCAGGCTTTTATGCTGTAATAGTAGGCTCTAATGAAATTCAGCATCTCGTTTGTTGTGTTATCAACTGTCAAGCTGAATCGTGGATTCTGTTGGCTCAATCAAACAAAACATTAAATCAATAAAGCAAAGGCTGGCTAACTCCTGGCACTTGTAGTGTCCCTAAGCACAGTGTGGTGTTAATATTTAGTCACCACAAATTCTTCGCATCTTATATTTGACTGTCTCGCCTCTCCGAGACGATGGAATAATAGCGTGAGAAGTTTTTGCTGTAATAGTTGTCAAGTTTTTACCCTAGCAGTTGTGATATACCGTTCTGTCACTTTTAAATTATTGAAGGTGGCGCAAATGCACCCCTTCCCACTGGATACCTATGCGTTCCATATTGGTAGGAAAGGCTTGTAAATAGGTTCGAGTATTGAAGTTAGCGAATGCTTTGGATTTCCGCTGGAATACCGTCTTCCTCTGGAGAATTTTCGTCATGGCAGCAAGAGGATGCACTGGAGAGCTAAAATCGTTTGCCCGAACCGGCCGTTTCAGACGTACGACTCACGCTTATCGCTGGTCCCGCTAATATTGTAACACTTAAATTCTGGAAGTGAGACATCAGTGTTGGAGGACTAAGCCCGATTTAGACCTGACAGGTGATACTGTGATCATATCTTCACATTGACTCAATCGCTTTGGCAGTGCTGCGGATACTGCCGACAAATCGCCATGGCCTGTTTCAACAAAAGCGCTTCGACTCTGGACAGACGGACTGTTTTAGGTGCATTTGGTCAGAGGGGGATTCTGGTGATGGAAAAATTACTCACGCTCCTTGTTGCCATTTCTCTAATTGTTTTGGGATGTACGGTGAACTATCGAAAAGCTTCCTCACAGTCAATGGAGTTCATCGGGTCTGTTTCCTTTCCTATGATTAATTTTGTTTTCGATGTTATCTTGGAGCCACATTCCAAATGGCCGTGAATCTAGGTACAGAAATCACGTTTTGGGAGAAATTGTTCGACTTGGAGTATGCAGACATCATTTCGTTTGACGATTGTTTCTCTACACAAGCCACTCTGAACAAAGTCTCTGGGGCGTTTCGTATGCGTTTTTCACCTTCAAATTGTCATATCTTTCATCAGGACTTCCCGAGTTTGCTTTTCGGGCTGTTTGTATGGGCAGCTTCATAGGCCATGACTCTATCGTAACGGAGGAAGTCAATGAGTACATGCAGCGTTCGCCAGCTTGAGTCGTTTTTGGCATCAGAAACGAATTCCCCTGAAGCTAAAGGGTTGTATATACAACGCAACTGTAAAGATACCCCTATTTGTGGTTTCGATCCCAGCGTCCTAGATGTCTCGAAACTTTTGACTGGTATATCCGTAGGTTATAGAGTTAGCCAATTATAAACCGTACTCAACAAGGTACGAGTCAGAATCTGTAGAGCAGCAAAATGAATATACCAGGTTAAGGTTCCTCGAACATGTACTACGTATAACCAAAAAAGCGTTTTGTTTCCCAAGCTACTCGGTGAAGGGTTGGTGGAGAACAGTCTAAGACAGCAACGTGAATTGAAAGCGGCTACAGTCAAACTGGATTGTGTGTAGTCTTCCTATCTTCCTGGTTGGAACCTATGTGATCTTTCTTGGATATGTCTGGAAACCCACAAGATATGTTATACTGTCGGTCCCAGTGGTGCGCATGTTCTCACTTTGTATGCAGACCGCCTATCTAAAGATCACGTATTGTGCGCTGGGTTTGTTTCGAGTGAGGTACGCGAAGTGAGCCGAGCCGGTCCCTTACCGCAGCTTAATGTTCGGGTGTATTCATTTCGGTGCTGCTGTACGGTGTAGGAATCTTGTTTTTTTTCCACTTTCCTTTCCTTCTTTCCTCAGTCTGTATGGCAGTTAGCTACCAAATACGTATGTGTATGTACATGCTATCACTGATAACGGTAGCTAGAAGAGTCGTTATCGATTATTTATGGCATGATTGCCGAACCCGCTTCCTCACTTGTACACGTTTTTTTTCCCTTTCCACGGCTTTCTTTCCTCAGTCTGTATGGCAGTTAGCTACCAAATACGTATGTGTATGTACATGCTATCACTGATAACGGTAGCTAGAAGAGTCGTTATCGATTATTTATGGCATGATTGCCGAACCCGCTTCCTCACTTGTACACGAGATCACTTTCTTCATAGCTATACGAACGATATGGCCGACATTAGTCGAAGTGGAGCTGCAACAGTACACTTGATGTAGCCTCATAATTGTTGGATGGCATGTAAGCTCCAGGAAGTAGTAGAAACAAGACTCTTCCACCCTGACTAAAAGCTGCCACAGTGACTTGGTGGACGGGCTTGAGTACTGCAATGAGCCTTCGAGCTATACTGACCGGGACTCTGTCCCCCAAGCTGCCAGGAAAATTAAATGGAGGACGAGCACTGCGCGTCCGTAGTAAGAATAACCATAATAACAGGCTACTGTCCTGTGTGATAAGACTGTCAAGACATGTGTTCTACCCAGGTGTATTCATATTTACGGAAGCAGAGATGCTGCCTCCACCTGAGGAAGCACCGGTTAGCAAATGTCAGCCCTAAAAGATTCATACGCCGATTGTCCAACTGTCGGCGATGATAGCCGACAAGTTATCCAATACGATCGAAATACTTTTAAAGCCTACCAAGGGCCTGGCGCGCAGTACCACCAGGAGCTAGGCATCCATACTGCCTTTTTCGATCGTAAACGTAATTTCTACGGGCAAAGGATGCACGAAAACTCTCGGCATTTGATCATCAGTGTCTCCGAAGCATGAATCGGATCTGGTGGGAACAACGGATTAGCAATGCTGAGGTACGCTAGACGGTTTTAGAAAGAAGGATCTCTTGCGATGCAGTTATCAATAATAATCGCTCAACTGTAACACTGTCGGTGCCCATCTGATATACCCACCGAAGGAAGTAACAGGGCTGAGATTCTGTCAGACTACGTTGGCCTAGACAGGAGTCGTTGGCGCGCTAAATTTGGGATTGACCCACACGCCTTGCGGTCAGTAATCTTGCACCCTTACCCCTGGGCTGTTTCTGGCGAGCTCCTTAGGCTTTAAGGGTCGCGTTGATTAGGACCTAAACTCGTTTCAGAGGACTGTCTACTCTGCAGTGCTCTCGTCGCACACCTCTAGGCTGATTGGAAATAACCGGCAACGAAGTATGAAAGCACCAACTTTCGGATTTAAACTGATTTTTTTTAGCTTGATTAGTGAAATTTTGGGGCAATAGACAACTGGTGTCGACGTTGCATTTTGGTGAACCTGATTCTTCCGAAGTTTTACCTTATAGTAACCAGATGAACCCTTATTCAAGTTGTTTGCTCTGTCATCCAAGAAGAAATTTTCTGAATGAATGAAGGCTCTGTCCTTTATGAAGGTAGTCTCCACCGTGGGGCCAGTTGGTCGGATTAGATGAAATAGGATTCTACTTTTTCCCGTTGCAACAATTTTCCCCATTTCCTTGGACTAAGGTCCCCAACAGTGTTATCTGTCAATCAATAGGCTGTTCGATACTCGGTGCTTCGTAGATCTGTTTGCGTCATTGTGGTCGCCCAATGCAGGTATAGCTTTCCTGTGATCAGTGAGAACTACCGGTTTTGATCTTTTGTGTGTATTGGAGCTTGCCGATGATTCAAGTCAGACCGCCCAAATGTGATGAGCATGTGTTTCTCTTCTAGATCATCCCCCCAGACCATCACTATTACTATCGCAACGGTTTTCCTGGACAGCCTTTCATCCAACCCAACTCGGTATTGTTGAGATGTAGGGACAATTAAAGCTGAGAAATGAAATGGTCTTCCGTCATTCTGGGAAGCGAGCCGATATATGTGTCCGAGTGGTACCGTGGTCAGAATCAAGTTTTGTACTCCAAAAAGTATGGCAATCTTGAGTTGAAGCTCTTCTTCAACGGCAGCTGATTTCCACATGGTCCATTTGAATCCACGGCTGGTTTGCAGTTGTTGGCCTCCAACTAACACGCGTTTCTGCTAAAAGTTTGTATTGTTTACAACCGAATGTTGGGCATATAACCAAGGAAGCCGATATGCATTGTCTCTGCAGTGAGCATCGAATCGGAACCGACCACGAGAATATGTTTGTGGCGGGCTTAGTCACCCTACCTAAACACTCATACCACCTGCTAGAATGAAAATATCCGTTCTTGTCCATCGAAAAATTTGTGACGAATCTCGGTAGAAGCTTTACTTCCCAATCTCAGCTGGTGTCTGTCGGAACACATGCTGATGCAGCCCCTAAACAGCGCCCATTCATTTATCTTAAGCCAAACAACAGAACATCACAAAAACGTTCATTTGCTAGAATCCAGTCCAGCAAAGCGCATTCAAGCTTGACGTTGAGTGCATCTCTCACGCCTTTTTTACCTCGAACCATAAGATCCATTAGAATCACCAGACACCCAGTGTGCGATAAACCCTGATTCATCTTTAGAGGATTGGGGTGTATAGTCGAAGTGTGGCCTTATATGTGTTTCGGAGTTACAACGTACATAATCAATTGGAGAAACAAGTGAATGTTGACCAGTTTGACGTGAGTTTGGAGACCCTAAGTGGAACAGATACTTCGAATCAAATGGGGTTTAATATGGAAAGTTCAAAGTCAAAAAACAGTGAATTCCGGTTGCCGTGGCGAACTCTTTTCAAGGATTTTCACAATCAATCAATAGGGTTTGTTTTGCATTCATTTCTCTGGACAGAAGTTAGGTGATCGACGACTTAATGAATCAACAAGGCTGGTTTGAAGGGGTGCGAAAGAGGCCCAGTGAATGAAGATATGGAAAGGTGAATGCCACTTTTCGGTGGCTCAGACACACACAGCGCAGCTGACGTGTCTGGAGCCGCGTGGGGCTGTGTTGAGAGTTTGCCAACGGTCGTGGTCGACCGTTGAGTGATGGATGTGAGGATTTTAGGACCGATATTTTCGAACACGTGCTTCCTCGAACTAAAGCAACACTGGTGCTTCTACAGATACAGGGATTCTGGTCACCGGAAGAAAACACGTTCCTGTCGCGGCGAACAGCACGAACTTGCCCATCGTAATACGTCCTCTCATACTACAGAGACCTGACTTTGTTCATTGGATTTCTCGCTGTCACTGTAGCCCGCAGGTAACCGCTATAGATCGTACGATTGTAAAACTGCTCCACAGTAGCCGACTGTCTGTTACTGCGTTTGTAATTCGGCCTCTAATAGCGTGCGATCTCCTTTCCTGTACGCTATTTTCATGCGTAATGGACAAATTGCTCCAGTCTTGGTTTACTCATGGGGATCCGCTATGTCAATATTCTTAAGTATGTTTGTTTATCCTTGTTCTACACTTCCGTCTGCCCGGCAGCCAGTTTATCATCAACCTCCTAACTCTTTAAATTCTAGTTCCTCTGCGCAAGCCACAGCAGTAACAATCGGCCGCCATTTGAACACGGGCCATTTAGACAGCCAGACAAAACCAACGACGACACTCGGATCAGCTATAACCACTCCGCAAGTCACTGGACCAGGTTCGGTTCCTGGGGCGGTAAGTTGTTGTCCCTTCATACAAGTCGCTGATTCATTTTTATCACAAACCTTTTTCACACAACATTGTAGTAAGTTACGTCATGTGGGAATGGTCTGTCACTTGAATCGGTTAATCAGTCAAGGATGATAGCATTAGTTGTTTGATAGGTGAGTCACTGCTACAGCCACGAACCTTGTCTTGGAAATGCTAATGTAGGAAAAAGAAAGGGGTGGACAGAAGAGAGATGATAAATCATAGTAATACTCGTTAAGCCTTCCGGTGAGTAGCTGCCATGTTACCCGAAGAAAACATGAGGGCTAAGATATTACTTGGTTGTTCAAGCCTAGACAGGAGCAGTCGAGGTGCTGATGTTCGGACCTTTCGGTCAGTAAGTTCGCGCCTTAACTACTGAGCCATTTCGAACTCACAGACGAGAGATCTTGTAAATGACTTTGTTTCCCTGCTTGTGATATGTTGAGCCATTCTAGCTGTGTTCGGGTGAATGTTTGTTGGTCCCATCCAATGATCTATATCGGCTCCTGACCGATATCAGGAGCACAAGCCTGGTTATCCGTCGCCCATTTTGGCGCCTGATCTCTCGTGTGCTTATTATTAAACACTGCTACAAACGGTCCGTCCATATCGCTGTTGTTTGTATGTAGTTTGATGTTCCCGTAACCTGTCATTTGGTTAGCCTAGGTCAATGTCGTTGATGAAGCTTCGTTTGTGCGCAAGACAATAAGGTACAACTTCCAGGTTTTAGCTAGAAAGCTATAGATGTACAGAGACTAGAGGACAACAGGCCTCTTGCTGCACACCTTACGCGCAGCGCAATCACTGTTGTCTAACCGACTTTGTCGGGCTAAATGCAAATACGCATGTTTCGTTTCATTTGCTCTTTTTTTGAAATGACCGCCTAATTGACCCCATCACTGTTTCGAGAGCTCATTGACTGATTTCGTGCATACATGTCTATATATAGTTCAACACTTTTGTCAATGTCAAACGCCGTTCACTCACAGTGACTCTCCCACTATCGAATTAGTAACGATATACAAAATTCTCTGTGGAGTTTCTGATCTTTGTGGAAGTTCAAGGATGTGTATCAAACGTCATACTGACAGCCTGTAGAACTTTGATCACTATTATCCGTTTAAGCCATATAAGAGTGGTGCAGTATTTCTAACCCTTCAAGCCATTTACCTCGTATCTCGATTAACTTTGTTCTTGTGTCATTTGGCTTAATGGAAAATACGGTTTCTGAACCGTGAAACCTGAAAACTCATCCTTCAGCCTAGGTAGCAAAGGTAGGCACTCGTTCGTGCATTCATTCAACCATGTCAGTCAAGCTTTAAAGGCTGCTTTCGGGTTAAAACGGAAAAGATGGCAAACTGAAAGCTAAATGTGCTACTGCCTCCTTCCAAACGACTCTTCACGTTTCATTGGTAAGGTCCGGAAAGAATTACTACACATTTCCTATAACCGACACTGCTGTCAGAAGGGATCTCGTTGGGACTAGCGTTTACAAAACATTGGTTGCTTAATAAAAGCGCCCCATTGTCTTTATTTAATAATAATTAGTTTTTTTCATAGCTCTGCGTCGGTAAAACTGGTGACTGATCTTTCTCTCTATTGCTGAACGAGCTGTGTGGTATGGCGTGGGTCGAGAACGATTACGTCAGAGCAGTGACCTGTTATTTGTGTCTTCCTTTTCTTCCTTCTTCAGATTCCCGGGAAGAAGGGTGAAGGGGGAAAGATTCAGTTACAGGACCTGAGAAACATTTTGTCCTCGATATCCGGGCCATCCAAAAGTTGGTTTTTGATAGACTGTATTTTTTTATCAAACGATTCTAGTCAACGTGTATTTGTCTTATTACTGTGCTTCGTTTCATAGTCGATGGAATCGGAACCGTTGTTGATTTCGGGTCTCACACCCTGAGCAGACCCTGGGGTGTACTCTCGTTCCTGGTGAAATTGCTTATTTCTCGCATGATTTCTTTACGCACAGCTCGATGCTTGGCCTGACACGACTACTTCGGCCAGTTCTCACAAAGAAGAAGCACATGACTCGGGTTTCGCTCCCACCGGAGCTCACCGTTAGTTCATGTAGTCGGCTACGCACTTGTTTTACTCCGGTCATTTGGCATTGTAGGCAAAACTGTTTGCCATTACTCCCCACATTGAGTCGTCCTTTCTGAGCAGCTGATCATATTTTCTTTTGCGTGAAAGAGTTGAAGATCTTACTTTAGTTCAGGTGACTAAACAAACTCATATTAGGTGGAGTTCAAAAGTGGTGTCGTCAGTGAACTCAATATAGCTCAGTGATCAAGGTTCGAACCCAACCCTAGCATCTCGAATGCTCCTGTATAAACTTGAGAAACCCGGCAGTATCTCAGAGCTCGTGCTTCATTCGGTTGGCATAGTAGCTAGGCACCAAAGAGGTTTTATAGCCTAACGATCCATCGATCGGTTGATTGTCGTCTAAACTGCACCTTTGGGCGCATCATGTGTTCACTGAATCCCTGCATGTGTTTTTTTCATCATAGGAACGTCCAACAATTTACCCTTCCACCTCAGTTCAATGCCGTGGTTCAGTTTGACTGATGTCAGATTGTTCAGCTGGTTATCCTGTCGTCGTAGAATTTGTTTAGAAATGGAGGGGGAGATTAACAGGAGAATGGTGCCGTCCATTGACAACGTTTTTAAGTGTGATATGTAATGCTCTTTTCGTGACGGACCCTTAATTGGGACGATTAAGCCGGAACTCTGGTGTCTCAGGTCCGAGCTGACATCGTCAACATGCAACCTAATGAGTATGAACGACTATAGGTGAGGCAGGGATAATGGATGGCCATACACAGTAGTTCATCCTCGATATTAGAAACACGTATACGGTTCTGTGAATGCCTTTAGCAAGGTAAGATACGTCACTAAGACTTTTTACCTTTAGGGCTTTTGCGGAATGAGTGCCCCCTAGTGACTCGAAGGGTTCAGAGTTCAGTTTATATTAAAAGTAATTACGTCCTCATTGTCGAGCTATTGAAGCTTTTGAGGTCCTTTGGCATTCAACCCACAGGAAACAATGTACCCTTTTACACAAAAGCGATGGAGAGGTCGGATGTGACATTGAACCGCATACATACACGTCGGGAGCTCTTACATTAGCCCATACATTATCTTGTTAGAAGTATTTATGACTCTAAACAGGATGAGGTGTACAGTACTAGGATTCTAACTAACGGCCTATAGATTTTTACATACTCTGAATAATCATCATCCTCGTCCATTCAGCTTCCGAACCTCCTATTGACCTGAACGATGCTGTCAACATGGATAGCTTGCGCAGTCTTCTTGAGAAAGCAGAAGTACAGGCTAGACTGCTGCCCCATTTACCGAACCGTGATCCCGAGGCGAAACCCGTCAGTGACCTGGGGAACCTTACCGAGAATATCCGGTCATCCCAATTCAAGTCAACATTAAAGGTATCATAAGTGATGTGACCGCTATTGTGTTTGCCTGTTTCACCATGTTTCTTGGTATCTACACAACAATGAGCTCTAACGTGAAGTTCATTGGATGCATCTTTTCATTATTTTTCAGGATTTCCACACTGTCTATGTTATCTGTTTTTGGTGCAAGGTATCTCGGGAATCCACAGATTTAGTGAAACGAACTCCGACCATCGCTGACAAAACGCAAATAGCAGGTTCTACGTTTTACACCTTGTTACTTCGGTGCTGTTTTCCACGACCGACCCAATTTAGATTCGGAACCTTGCATATTCGTCGTTCTATTTATTCAGAGAAAGTGGTAATGGGACTTTAAAATACGCTCGCACAGTATCTCAGACTTCCCATTTAAGTCTCCTCTCTCTAGGATGTAGTATAGCACTGATATCCCCTGAAGTCAGCTCAACTCACAACGCATCAAACCGATGTAGCAACAGTTTCTGTACAGAACTTTCGTTTGTGATATATCCCGATGTCCCACTAGCCACCGACTCGTCAAGTACGTCTAGTCTTACCGTACTGTTTGCAAGGGGCAAATGAATCCTTAGGCAGCGTTTGTGCTGTACGTAGGAGGTGTAGCGAGATATTCGTTCAAAGCTTATTGGGATAAGCCGTCCAAACCAATTAATTACGCAAATGAGTCGCCGATAAAAGACCATTGTGCTTATTTGATTCTCGGAAAGGTTAAACATTTACTTCGCTTTACTTTGCCCCGGTCTTTTCAAGTAGCTACCAGGCCGTGGATGAAGGTGCATCTTAGTAGACTGATGAGCCCCCTGAAGAGTCACACTAGCAGGGGAGATTAATCTGATGTATTGCCATAATTTTCGTTTAAATGTACAGCTCTTTTGCGCACCAGATTCTTGTAAGCCCCCAATGGTACACCCACGTTAATGGCCTCATTTCTTTTTATTGCTTAATTACTTGCAATTAGTTGTGCCTTGTGATTCGGCCCGAAGTACTCTTCGTTAGAATAGAAATGCAGAGAGTTTGCATGGTCACCCGTTTTTGTGTGTAGCTTCACTTATGAGCTGTCAAATCAGAGCTGTTTGTCTGTGTATACCCTGGGACAGACCCGTTTCAAGCTTTCAAACTGTGCCGTCTATCTCTTGGCTTAAATGAACCATCACAGCATTACTGTTTCTGTTTTATTAACTGTTCTCCGCCACACATCAGGAAACTGGGTTGCCAAGGTGAAACATTTATGCTCCTGGACCTTAGTCTACTCGTCGCAATCAATGGGAAAAGAACGGTTTCAATTTTGTATTCCCTTTTGAAAGTATGCTTCATCATCATCATTGTCAGCTGTAATAACCGCGTACTTGTCATACAGTGGTTATAGCTGCCACAGTTTCGTTTACCGATGATTCGGGGAGGTTGGGTAGGTAGCTGCGCATTGGAGATGGGAGCTGATAAATTAGTGCGTAAATACAGCACTGTTAAGTGGGGGGTTGGGAAGGGAGCTATGCATTGAAGGCAATAGCTTGGATGCATGAGCACCACTGAGGGCGCGACTGGGCCATGTCTGACAATGTCTCTAACCATTGGCATGGCCTGTCTCGGGGTCCCCATCCAAGAAGATGGCAATGACCAGCGCAGCTGAGTTTGCTGGTAATGGCCTTCATACTTCGCTGCCAAGTCATTGTTTGACCGCCTCTGGCTCTCTTCCACCCTTCACGTGGTTGTGCGAAAAGAGCCCTTCGAGGAAGTC